CTTGCTGAAAGGGCGCTGGGATCTGTGTGATTTCCCGTGCGGCGATCCACTGCACTGGCTGAAACATTGCTGCCCAGGAATCTCCTGGCCTGGCTTACTGTTTAAGTCCCATTTACTCAGATGAATGTGCTAATCTGCCTTCCCAAATCTCAAATTGCCGATTCAACAGGGCAACCAGACCAGTGTATTTTGTACAGAGTGCCTCTGTGCTGTGGTGCTGGCCGAAACAGCCACGCTGGCTGGAACAGCTGCGCTGGTGGCCTGTGGGGCTCCTACACCTGGGAATCTCCTGGTCTGTGGGCAATAAAGATTTGCCTGGAAATGCGGTGTCCACTCACCCTCTGCACTTTCACTAGGAGCTGCAATCCTGAGTTGCTCCTATAGCGCCATCTTCTCCTCTCCCCAGCATAATGTCTTTAAGTTTCATCCATGTTACAGCATGAATCTGTACTTCATTTCTTTTTATGGCTGAATAATAGTTCACTGAACAGATACACCACTTGTGGTTTATCCACTAATCCATTGATGGAAATTTGGGTTGTTTCCACTTTTTGTCTGTTGTGAATAATGCTGCTATGAATATTTAAGTATAATGTTTTTTGGTGGACACATGTTTTCAGTTCCCTTGGGTATATACCTGGGAGTGAAATTGCTTGGTCATATGGCAACTCTATGTTTAACTTTTTGAGAAATTGTCAAACTCTATTCCAAGGCATCTGTACCCACCAGTAATATGAAGATTCCAATATCTCTATAATCTTGCCAATACTTGTTATTCTGTTTCTTTTATTACAGCCTTGCTAATGAATGTAAAGTGTATCTCATTGTGGCTTTGATCTGCATTTCTCTATAACTAGTGATGTTGAGTATCTTTTCATGTGCTTACTGGTCATTTGTATATTTTCTTTGAAGAAATATTTATTCAAATCCCTTACCCATTTTTCTGTTGGCTTATTTTATAGGGTCCAGCCCTACGGGGTTCTGTGAGCCCCTCCCAGCTGGTGAGGAGACAAGAAATTGTAGAAATAAAAGACACAAGACACAGAGATAGAGAAAAGAGAGTTTGGGCCAGGGGGTCCACTGCTACTCAAATTGCGGAGACCAGCAGTGGCCCTGAATGGCTGGACCCTCACTTTTATTGAGTTGCAAATCTGGGGATAGGGTAGGTAGGGCGTGTTCTTGGTGGTCAGAGATTGGGGGCAGGGTAGATAGGGAGTGGCAGTGATAGGGTCAAGTACATCATGTGTCATTCAGGTAGGGGCTCAGGAATTTCTGACACCTGAAATGAGGTAAGGAGCATAATGCATTAGCACCTTTTCCATACTTATCAAGAAAGATCTAAAACATTAAGATTTATATTACTGTTACTGATTATCTTTTCTAAGAATAAAGGAACCAGATGCAGAAGCAGAACATGAGAGTAGACATGCAATGTGACCACTGAAGCATGGCATCACATAGAGACAGTTAAGCCCCCGGATGTCTGTGAGCCTGCCTGACAGCCATCAGGCCTTACCACAAGAGCTTGGAGAAGTGGAGTTTTCTCCAGACTTCCCCAGGAAGGAGATATCTCGGCCACTTTGGACATCTCCTTCCCTAGGTGGCTAAACAGTGGGCGATTTCACAGTGCTGGTGATGCTGCACAGCTGAGGTGCCCTCCAGCATCCCTTATGCGGGAGTGATGGAGGGCCTAGAGCTTCTTGCCTTAGTGTCATTTCTTTCACAGTGTCATCCCAGGTTCACACTTCTGACCTGAGAGGCATTAGTAAAAGAATTAAGATCACCTGTGAATAAGATCACATATGAATAACTAATAACTACTTTGGTTATACTTCTAGTTACTTTCTTCTTCATTATTTATATGGAAATAGGCTGAGGCCTTTTGTTCCTGCCTTGGCACTTATGGGATCTCCCCCCTATTATTTGTCCCTGATTATTAAGCTGTAAGAGTTCTTAATATATTCTGCACACTAAATTTTTATCAAATATATGATTCACGAATGATTTATTCCATTCTGTGGGGTTTTATCACTTTCTTGACAGTATTCTTTGAAGCACAAAAGTTTTAAATTTTGATGAAGTCCAATTAATCTTTCTTCTTTAGTTGCTTGTTTTTGGTATCATATCTAATATATCATTGTTTAATCCAAAGTCAGAAAGATTTATACCTATGCTTTTTTCTAGGAATTGTATAGTTTTAGTTCTTACATTTAGGGCTTTGATCTATTATGAGTTAATTTTTGTATATGGTATGAGGTAGGGGCCCAACTTCATTCTTTTGTGCCATTTGTTGAAAAGACTACTTTTTTTTCATTGAGTGGTCTTGGCACCCTTGACAAGAATCAATTAATGATAAATGTAAAAGTTTATTTCTGGTCTCTCAATTCTATTCCATTAATCTATATGTGCATACTTATGCCAGAACCGTACTGTCTTGATTACTGTTGCTTTGTATTAAGCTTTGAAATCAGGAAATGTAACCTCCAACTTTATTTTTATTTTTATTTTATTTTATTTTATTTATTTATTTATTTTGAGATGGAGTTTCGCTCTTGTTACCCAGGCTGGAGTGCAATGGTGTGATCTTGGCTCACCACAACCTCCACCTCCCGGGTTCAGGCAATTCTCCTGCCTCAGCCTCCTGAGTAGTTGGAATTCAGGTTCAAGCAATTCTTCTGCCTCAGCCTCCCAAGTAGCCGGGATTACAGGCATGTACCACCACGCCCAGCTAATTTTGTATTTTTAGTAGAGATGGGATTTCACCATGTTGGTCAGGCTGGTCTCGAACTCCTGACCTCAGGTGATTCACCTACCTCAGCCTCCCAACGTGCTGGGATTACAGGCCTGAGCCACTGTGCCCAGCCCCCAACTTTATTTTTATTTTTCAGGATTATTTTGGCTATTCTGGGTCCCTTGCATTTATATATAAATTTTAATATTGTCAATTTCTGCAAGAAAGGAAGTTGGGATTTTGGTAAACATTGAGTTGAAGCTATAGATCAGTTTGGAGACTGTTGCCATCTTATCTATGAACATGGGATATCTTTCCATTCAGGTCTACTTAACCTCTTTCAATAATATTTGTTTTAGTGCACAAATATTGTACTTCTTTTTGTTTGATTTATTCCTAATTATTTTATCCTTTTGATGATACTGTAAATATAATTGTTCTCATAACTTTATTTTCAGATTGTTCATTTCAGGTATATAGAAATATAATTGATTTTTGTATATTGATCTTGTATCCTACAACCTTATTGACTTGTTTATTAGTTATAATAGTGTGTGTGTGTGTGTGCATGCGCACGTGTGTGTATCTGTCTGCCTGTATTCCTTAAGATTTTCGATATATACAACAATGTTATTTGCAAATAGAGGTAGTTTTACTTCTTAGTCTCCAATATGAATACCTTTTATTTATTTTTTTTGCCTAACTGCTCTGACTAGAACAGTGAGTATAATGTTCAATAATAGTGAAAACAGACATTCTTGTCTTTTTTTTTTTTTTGAGTTTAGGGAGTTTTTGGTCTTTCACCATTAAGTATGACATTACTTGTGAGTCTTTCTTGGATGCCTTTTATTAAGTCAAGGAAGCTCCCTTCCATTCCTAATTTCTTGAGTTTTTTTTTTTTTTTTAAACAACAAATCATTAAATGATGTAAGATTTTGTGAAATGCTTTTTCTGCCCTTAGTGAGATTATGATGTTTTTTTCCTTGATTAATAATATGGTCTATTACATTAATTAATTTTTGTTTGTTCAACCTCCCTTGCATTCCTAGCATAAATTTGACTTGACTATGCTGTCTGATTTTTAAAAATATGTTGCTGGATTCAGTTTGCTTGCCTATTTTTGAGAATTTTCCCTATACTCATAAGGAGTATTGGTTTTTAGCTTTCTTTTTTTCTAATGTCTTTGTCTGGTTTTGGTATCAGAGTAATATTGCTTCATAGGATGTGTTGTGAAATGTTCCTTCTTCTTTTGTTTTTCATAAGAATTTGTGAAGGATGAGTTGAATTTTTCTTTTTCTTTTTGAGATGAGTCTCACTCTGTCACCCAGACTGGGATGCAGTGGCTCGATCTCAGTGCACAGTGACCTCTGCCTCCCAGGTTCAAGTCGGCCTGAGCCTCCTGAGTAGCTGGGATTACAGGCATGCACCACCATGCCTGGCTATTTTTTGTATTTTTAGTAGAGATGGGGTTTTGCCGTGTTGGCTAGGCTGGTCTCGAACTCTAGATGTCAGGTGACCCACCCACCTTGGCCTCCCAAAGTGCTTGGATTATAGATGTGAGCCGCCATGTCCAGCCTTGAATTTTTCTTTAAGTGTTTGGTAGAATTTACTAATGGTCCTGGTCCTGGACTTCTTTTGCAGGAAGTTTTGGTTATTAATTCAATTTATTTGTCATAGTTCTATCTAGATTTCTGTTTTTTCTTTAGTCAGTTTAGTATTTTGCATCTTTCTAAGAATGTTTTTATCTTACCTAGGTTACCTAATTTGTTAACATACAATTGTTTGTAGTATTACCTTATAATTTTTTTTAAATTTCTGTCAGGTTAGCAGTAATGTCTCCTTTCATCCCTGATTTTAATAATTTGAGTGTTTTCTCATTGTTTTTGGCCAGCCTCGCTAAAAATTTGTCAATTTTGATATTTTAAAATAACTAACTTTGGTTAGTTTTCTTTACTTTTCTATTCTTGATTCATTTATTCCTGCTCTAATCTTTATTATTTTCTTCATTTACTAGCTTTGGCTTTAGTTTACTCTTATTTTTCTTAAGGAAGAAATTTAGATTTGTTTTTCAAGATTTTATTCTTTTTAAAATATAGGCATTAGCATCTATAAATTTCCATCTAAGCAGAGTTTCAGCTGCATTCTGTTAAGTTTTAATAGGTTGTGCTTTCCTTTTTATCTCTCTAAAAGTATTTGCTAATTTCTCTTTTGATTTTTTTTTGACTCAGTGGTTATTTAGGAGTGCATTGTTTAATTTCCACATATTTGTGAATTATCCAATTTCTGTTTTCATTCTGTATGGTTGGAGATTATACTCTGATAATTTCAGTCCTTTTAAATTTATTGAGGCTTGTTTTATGCTTAACATGTGGTTTATGTGTCCAAAACAAAATGGACAATGATCCATGTGTGCTGAGAAGAATGATATTCTACTGTTGTTGGTTGGATGTGTTCTTTAATTGTCTATTAGGTCTGCTTGGTTGTGGTGGTGTTCAGATCTTCTATGTCTTTGTTGATCTTCTGTCTAGATATTCTACCCATTATTAAACATGGATATTGAAGTTTCTACCTATAATTCTTGAAATGCCTATTTTTCGTTTCTGTTTAGTTGGTTTTTGCTTCATGTCTATTGGGGCTCTTTTGTTAGGTGCGTATATGTTTGTTTTTCCTTCACTTCTTCTCAAATGCTCTTCCCTTCGTATATAGATCTGAGTTTCTGAGATGTATCTTTCTTTTGTTTTCTTTTAAAAAAAAATATTTAGAGACAGAGTCTCACTCTCACCCAGGCTAGAGTGCAGTGGGATGATCATAGCTTACTGTTACCTCAAAAGTCTGGGCTCAAGTGATTCTACCACATGAGCCTCTCGAGTAGCTAGGACTAGAGGTGCACACCACCATGCCTGGTGTGTGTGTGTGTGTGTGTGTGTGTGTGTGCGCGCGCGCGTGCGTGTGTGTGTGTGTTTCTTTTTTTGATAGAGACAGGGCCTTGCATGATGCCCAGGTGGTCTTGATCTCCTGGCCTCAAGCAATTCTCCTACCTTAGCTTCTCAAAGCACCGATATTGCAGGCATGAGCCACTGCGCCTGGCCTTTTCTTCTTTCTGAAGAATTTCTTTTAACATTTCTTGCAAGTAAGTCTGCTGGCAACAAATTCTCTCAATTTTTGATTGCCCAAGAAAGTATTTCTCATTCACTTTTGAAGAGTAATTTTATTGATTTTGGAATTCTAGGTTAGTGGGGTGTTTATTTCAACAGATTAAATATTTCACTGTATTCTTTCTTGCATTGTTTCTGAAGATAAGTATGGACCATACTTTCTTGTTTCTTTGCATGTCTCTCTCATAAATTCTTGTTGAAAACTGGACTATTTATTTATTTATTTATTTTGAGACAGAGTCTTGCTCAGTGGTCCAGGGTGGAGTGCAGTGGTGTAATCACAGCTCACTGCAGCCTCAACCTCCCAGGCTCAAGTGCTCTTTGCATCTCAGCCTCTTGGTGGCTGAGACCATGGGTGCATGCCACCATGCCTGGTCAATTTTCTTTATTTTTACTTTTTCTAGAGACAGAGTCTCAGTATGTTGCCCAGGCTGGTCTTGAACTTCTGAGCTCAAGTGATCCTCCTGCTTCAGCCTCCCAAAATGCTGGGATTACAGGCATGAGCCATCATGCTAGGCCCATGACACTTTAAATAATATAATGTGGTATTTGCAGAAATCATGTTCTCATCCCTTTTTATGTTTTGTTGTTGTCACTGCCTGTTGTTCATTTGTTTATTCACTTTCCCAAATTTTATAAAGTCTGTATTCTTTGTTATACATGGCCACTGGAGTCTCTGATTGGTTAGCTTAGTCATCAGCTCACAGTTGGACATAAATTTCCTTCTATGCCTAGAAACAATATCTCCCAATTTTTACTGAGGGGCTTTTTTGGATTGGAGCATTCCTTCAACACTTAACTATGCGGTCCATTTCCTGCTTGGGTAGAGCTGCAAGGTCAGTTGGAGGTGAGAGGTTAGGGTCTTCTCAGGTCTTTCCTGAGCAAGCACCTCTCTCCCTGGGAATGGTTATGTCTCTGCACGTGAGTGGTTTCCTAGATTTTTAAGAAGATGTGGGAGCTTTTTCAAGTCCCGATTGACATCTCATTCCCCAGCTTTTCCCTTGAAGCTTTTTGGTTGCCTATTTTCTGCCCTGTTATCCACCTATTCAGGCAGCCATGATTTTAAACAACTGCCTCTGAATTTTTTCTAACAAATGCCTTTTCATGGTAAGCTGTGCTCACTGAGTGAGCTCTAACTCAATTCAAATGAAGACAGCCTTGGGAGTAGGATGTTTCAGGGAAACATCAGGCCAAATAATGATAATTTTCTGGTAAGGAGGCTTTCACAGAGCTCCAGCCCTGTTCTGTCCACTCGAGCGACTGTCAGCCTACTGGGTTTTCCCTGTGATTGAAGGCTGATGGTTTTCAAGACTACATCAGAGCCGGTGGGCAGTGGGGAGGCAAGTGAAGAGAAATGGGAATGAAGCAAGTTAAAATGCCACAAAACCTGTTCTTCATATTGAGATTCAGCCATTCGGAGGAATAAATGCTCCCCAGCTTGCTGTAAGCCTTTGGTTAATTTCCAGAGTTCTGAAATAATTGATTTCCACAATTTTTCCCAGTGTCTTCATTGATTTAATGGAGGAGAGGATTTTCAGAGGTCCTTACTCCAGCAGTTTCGCTCCTGTCATCCCAGCTCTGCCTCTGACTACATGTTGGATTTATACAGAGGCACTTCAAAAAAGCTCAGAGAATCGAAACTTTCTTCCCCTTACTGCCTACCAAAGAAATGAGTCAGTGACAGTCAAGATGTAGGTGGATTTTTCTATCCAAAAGTCTCTTTATTTTGCTGTTTTTAAAGTTTATTGGATATGCTAAAAACAAGGAGTCCAAAATTATGACTTTTGTGTTCACTTTAAGAATAGTCTGAAACATCGGTAAAGCAGATTATGACTAGCATCATTTTTACACTCTCCAGCTGTCCTTTCAGAAAAGGAATAGATAGGAAACCGGACACATTTGGGATGTATGCTTTAAGGTAATGTCATCTGTTTTCTTTTATATCACAGGGACTTAATGTGCAAAATGGCGATTACACCAGATTGGCTTAGGTCGCATTCTCGCGCACGAAAATTTACACATTCAAGACCCCATTCTTCACCATGTAGAGTATATTCAAGGAATGGTTCCCCAAATATGTTCAGATCTTGTTCACGTAAGTATTCACGAGCGAATAAGAACACTAACAGTAGATATCACTTATGTGTATTTAATATGGACCAAGCTTAGTTCAAAGGATTCACATGACATTTGATCCTCACAGTAACTCCATGAATAAGTTCTGTTTTTGTCCCTATTTTCTTTTTTTTAATTGCATTTTAAGTTTTGGGGTACATGTGCAGGACATGCAAGATCGTTGCATAGGTACACACATGGCAGTGTGATTTGCTGTCTTCCTCCCCTTCACCCACATCTGGCATTTCTCCCCATGCTATCCCTCCCCAGCTCCACCCCCCACTGTCCCTCCCCTATTCCCCCTAATAGACCCCAGTGTGTACTGCTCCCCTCCCTGTGTCCATGTGTTCTCATTGTTCATCACCCACCTATGAGTAAGAACATGCAGTCTTTCATTTTCTGTTCTTGTGTCAGTTTGCTGAGAATGATGTTCTCCAGATTCATCCATGTCCCTACAAACGACACGAACTCATCATTTTGGATTGCTGCATAATATTCCATGGTGTATATGTGCCACATTTTCCCAGTCCAGTTTATCATCGATGGGCATTTGGGTTGGTTCCAGGTCTTTGCTATTGTAAACAGTGCTGCAATGAACATTCGTGTGCATGTGTCCTTATAGCAGAACGATTCATGGTCCTTTGGATATATACCCAGTAATGGGATTGCTGGGTCAAATGGAATTTCTATTTCTAGGTCCTTGAGGAATCGCCACACTGTCTTCCACAATGGTTGAACTAATTTACACTCCCATCAGCAGTGTAAAAGTGTTCCTATTTCTCCACATCCTCTCCAGCATCTGTTGTCTCCAGATTTTTTAATGATCGCCATTCTAACTGGTGAGAGATGGTATCTCAATGTAGTTGTGATTTGCATTTCTCTAATGACCAGTGATGATGAGTATTTGTTCATATGTTTGTTGGCCTCATGTATGTCTTCTTTGGTACAGTGTCTGTTCATATCCTTTGCCCATTTTTGAATGGGCTTGTTTGTTTTTTTCTTGTAAATCTGTTTGAGTTCTTTGTAAATTCTGGATATCAGCCCTTTGTCAGATGGGTGAACTGCAAAAATTTTTTCCCATTCTGTTGGTTGCCGATTCACTCTAATGACTGTTTCTTTTGCCATGCAGAAGCTGTGAAGGTTGATTAGGTCCCATTTGTCTATTTTGGCTTTTGTTGCCAATGCTTTTAGTGTTTTGGTCATGAAGTCCTTGCCTACTCCTATGTCCTGAATGGTTTTGCCTAGATTTTCTTCTAGGGTTTTTATGGTGCCAGGTCTTACCTTTAAGTCTTTAATCCATCTGGAGTTAATTTTAGTGTAAGGTGTCAGGAAGGGGTCCAGTTTCTGCTTTCTGCACGTGGCTAGCCAGTTTTCCCAACACCATTTATTAAACAGGGAATCCTTTCCCCATTGCTTGTTTTTATCAGGTTTATCAAAGATTGTATGGTAGTGGGTATGTTGTGTTGTCTCCGATGGCTCTGTTCTGTTCCATTGGTCTATATCTCTGTTTTGGTACCAGTACCATGCTATTTTGAATACTGTAGCCTTGTAGTATAGTTTGAAGTCCGGTAGTGTGATGCCTCCTGCTGTGTTCTTGTTGCTTAGAATTGACTTGGCTATGCGGGCTCTCTTTTGGTTCCATATGAGGTTTAAGGTGGTTTTTTCCAGTTCTGTGAAGAAGATCATTGGTGGCTTGATGGGGATAGCATTGAGTCTGTAAATTACTTTGGGCACTATGGCCATTTTCATGATATTGATTCTTCCTAACCATGAACATGGAATGTTTCTCCATCTGTTCGTGTCCTCTTTTATTTCGTTGAGCAGTGGTTTGTAGTTGTCCTTGAAGAGGTTCTTTACGTTCCTTGTAAGTTGTATTCCTAGGCATTTTATTCTCTTTGTAGCAATTGTGAATGGCAGTTCATTCTTGATTTGGCTCTCTTTCGGTCTCTTATTGGTGTAGAGGAATGCTTGTGATTTTTGCACATTGATTTTGTATCCTGAGACTTTGCTGAAGTTGCTTATCAGTTTCAGGAGATTTTGGGCTGAGACGATGGGGTCGTCTAGATATACAATCATGACGTCTGCAAATAGAGACAATTTGGCTTCCTCCTTTCCTATCTGAATACCCTTTAATTTTTTTTCTTGCCTGATTGTTCTGGCTAGAACTTCCAGTACTATATTGAATAGGAGTGGTGAGAGAGGGCATCCTTGTCTAGTGCCAGATTTCAAAGGGAATGCTTCCAGTTTTTGCCCGTTCAGTATGATATTGGCTGTTGGTTTGTCGTAAATAACTTTTATTATTTTGAGATATGTTCCATCAATGCCGAGTTTATTGAGGGTTTTTAGCATAAAGGGCTGTTGAATTTTGTCAAAGGCCTTCTCTGCATCAATTGAGATAATCATGTGGTTTTTGTTTTTGGTTCTGTTTATGTGGTGAATTACGTTTATAGACTTGCGTATGTTGAACCAGCCTTGCATCTCCCGGATGAATCCTACTTGATCATGGTGGATAAGCTTTTTGATGTGCTGTTGCAATCGGCTTGCCAGTATTTTATTGAAGATTTTTGCGTCTGTGTTCATCATGGGTACTGGCCTGAAGTTTTCTTTTCTTGTTGAGTCTCTGCTGGGTTTTGGTATCAGGATGATGTTGGTCTCATAAAATGATTTGGGAAGGATTTCCTCTTTCTGGATTATTTGGAATAGTTTCAGAAGGAATGGTAACAGTTCCTCTTTGTGTGTCTGGTAGAATTTGGCTGTGAACCCATCTGGACCTGGGCTTATTTTGTGTGGTAGGCTCTTAATTGCTGCCTCAACTTCAGACCTTGTTATTGGTCTATTCATAGTTTCAGCTTCCTCCTGGTTTAGGCTTGGGAGGACACAAGTGTCCAGGAATTTATCCATTTCTTCCACGTTTCCTAGCTTATGTACATAGAGTTGTTTGTAATATTCTCTGATGATGGTTTGAATTTCTGTGGAATCTGTGGTGATTTCCCCTTTATCATTTTTTATTGCATCTATTTGGTTATTCTCTCTTTTCTTTTTTATCAATCTGGCTAGTGGTCTGTCTATTTTGTTGATCTTTTAGAAAACCAGGTCTTGGATTTATTGATTTTTTTGAAGGGTTTTTCATGTCTCTATCTCCTTCAGTTCTGCTCTGATGTTAGTTATTCCTTGTCTTCTGCTAGGTTTTGAGTTTTTTTGATCTTGCTCCTCTAGCTCTTTCAATTTTGACGATAGGGTGTCAATTTTGGATCTCTCCACTCTTCTCATGTGGGCACTTATTGCTATATATTTTCCTGTATAGACTGCTTTAATTTTGTCCCAGAGATTCTGGTATGTTGTGTCTTCGTTCTTGTTGGTTTCAAAGAACTTCTTTATTTCTGCCTTCATTTCATTGTTTATCCAGTCAACATTCAAGAGCCAGTTGTTCAGTTCCCATGAAGCTGTGCGGTTCTGAGTTAGTTTCTGAATTCTGAGTTCTAACTTGATTGCACTATGGTCTGAGAGACTGTTTGTTATGATTTCAGTTGTTTTGCATTTGCTGAGGAGTGAGTGATTTACTTCCAATTATGTGGTCAATTTTCGAGTAGGTGTGATGTGGTGCTGAGAAGAAAGTATATTCTGTGGATTTGGGGTGGAGAGTTCTGTAAATATCTATCAGGTTTGCTTGTTCCAGATCTGAGTTCAAGTCCTGGATATCCTTGTTAATTTTCTGTCTGGTTGATCTGTCTAATATTGACAGTGGAGTGTTAAAGTCTCTCACTATTATTGTGTGGGAGTCTAAGTCTCTTTGTAAGTCATTAAGAACTTGCCTTATATATCTGGGTGCTCCTGTATTGGGTCCATGTATATTTAGGATTGTTAGCTCTTCTTGTTGTATTGATCCTTTTACCATTATATAATGTCCTTTGTTTCTTTTGATCTTTGTTGCTTTAAAGTCTATTTTATCAGAGACAGGAATTGCAACTCCTACTTTTTTTTCTCTCCATTTGCTTGGTAAATCTTCCTCCATCCCTTTATTTTGAGCCTTTATGTATCTTTGCATGAGAGATGGGTTTTCTGGATACAGCACACTGATTGGTTTTGGCTTTTTATCCAATTTGCCAGTCTGTGTCAATTCATCGGTGCATTTAGCCCATTTACATTTAGGGTTAATATCGTTATGTGTGAATTCGATACTGCCATTTTGATGCTAGCTGGCTGTTTTGCCCATTAGTTGATGCAGATTCTTCATTTTGTTGATGCTGTTTAGCATTTGGTATGTTTTTGGAATGGCTGGTACTGGTTGTTCCTTTCTATGTGTAGTGCCTCTTTCAAGAGGTCTTGTAAAGCAGGCCTGGTGGTGACAAAATCTCTGAGTACTTGCTTGTTCACAAAGGATTTTATTTTTCCTTCACTTATGAAGCTCAGTTTGGCTGGATATGAAATTCAGGGTTGAAAATTCTTTTTTTTTTTTCTTTTTTATTGCATTTTAGGTTTTGGGGTACATGTGCAGAACATGCAAGACAGTTGCATAGGTACACACATGGCAGTGTGTTTTGCTGCCCTCCTCTCCTTCACCCACATTTGGCATTTCTCCCCAGGTTATCCCTTCCCAGCTCCCCCCGCCACTCTCTCTCGCCTAGTCCCCATACTAGACCTCAGTGTTTAGTACTCCCTTCCCTGTGTCCATGTGTTCGTATTTTTCATCACCTGCCTACAAGTGAGAATATGCGGTATTTCATTTTCTGTTCTATTGTCAGTTTACTGAGAATGATGTTCTCCAGATTCATCCATGTCCCTACAAACGACACGAACTCATCATTTTGGATTGCTGCATAATATTCCATGGTGTATATGTGCCACATTTTTCCAATCCAGTCTGTCATCGATGGGCATTTGGGTTGATTCCAGGTCTTTGCTATTGTAAACAGTGCTGCAATGAACATTCGTGTGCATGTGTCCTTACAGTAGAATGATTTATAGTCCTTTGGATATATA